TTACTATCGGGGAAAGGGAGGGAGGAAGAGACTGAACATAAACTGCACCTATAAATGAGGACAATGGGGGATGGGGAGGGGGTGGAGGGTGGAGTGGGAACCTGGTGGAGGGGGGAAGAAATGAGGAACCTTTGTAACAATATGAACAATAAAGATTGATTTAAAAATAAATAAATAAATAAATAAAAATAAAAATAAAAAAAGAAGCAACCAATGAATGCATAAATAAGTGGAACAATAAAGCGATAGTTCTCTCTCTTGCTCTCAAATCTATAAATATTTTTAAATAAACCACTGTATTACAATAGTAAAGCTCCAGACTAAACTGAAAATGAGTACTAAATAACAAAGGTATAATCTTCCATTTACCATACCAGTGACAGAATATGTAATGGTTAAGAGCAAAGACTAAATTACGATTGCCTATGTGTTATTCCTGGTTCCACCACTTTCTAGCTTCGTGATTCTGGCAAAAAATCCCACTCCTCTGTGCCTCAGTTTCCTCACCTTAAAAATGAGAATAACAAGCCGGGACCGGTTTAGCTCAATGGATAGAGCGTCGGCTTGGGGACTGAAGGGACCCGGGTTCGATTCCGGTCAAGGGCATGTACCTTGGTTGCGGGCATATCCCCAGTAGGGGGTGTGCAAGAGGCAACTGATCGATGACTCTCTCTCATCGATGTTTCTAACTCTCTATCTCTCTCCCTTCCTCTCTGTACAAAATCAATATATTAAAAAAAATAAATAAATAAAAATAAAAAATGAGAATAACAAGAGAACTTACATGTGGTTGTTGTGAGAATGAAATGAGATAATATGAAGCTAAATTTAGAACAGTGTCTGGCATATAAGAACTCAATTAAAGATGGCTATTATTATCATCAAACTCAAGAATAAGAAAAATGTACTTGGCAATGATAAAATTAGTTAGGTACATATTGAATGTCAACTATATATCCATTGCTGTGCCAGGCACTGTAGCTAACTGAAGAGAAATGTACACTATATGGTCTTTCTATTCCCATAAAACTAATAGTGATCTCTCTAGTTGGAATGACAAGGTCAAAAAACATTAATTAACTAAAGAATTCAGAATATAAGTAAGTGTGAAACTATGAAAACAAATTGCCTGCAAGTTCAAAGAAAAATAAAAGATAGCTAACATTTCCTAAACACTATATTGCAGGTACTGTTTTAAACACATTACATTTAATCCTCATAGCCTTATGAAGTAGATATTATTATTAACTCCATTTAATAGATGAAAAAAATTAAGAAAAAAAGAGGTAAAGTAATATATTACATAGCTTGTAAGAAGCACATCTAGGATTCAAATACAGGTGGCCTGACTTCTGAGCCTGCTCATCTAACTAATAAACTATAGTCGGGCAGGGAACTAAACCAATAATACTACCATTTACTGAATGGCTACTAAGTGCCAGACACTATACTAAGCACTTGCAAACATTCCATTTTAACTACCACTATTCATGGTTAAAATGGGATAACAGGCAAAAGGGGAAATAACCTGTTCGAGGTTAACAGTACACAGAGGAGCAGAGACTCAGTCACAGACCTACTGATCCTAAAGCTCATGCTTCTTGATTTCACTGTCAAAAGCAAAGGAAGGCTTAGTTAACAAGGGGCAGGAGTTAAGTACAACTAACTACCCAATTTGTATAATTTGAATAGCTAGTAAGGTAGAAAAAGATATTAAAAAAAGAACAGAATGAGCAAAAGCCAGTGTTTAGGTATGTTAAGAAGGAAAGCCTGCCGACAGCAAAGGGTATAGAGAAGTAGACAATATGGCTAACTTGGGTTAAGATGACAGAGAGGGTAAAAGCCAGGAGGAATGTTAAGATCTGATGCAGCAAAAAATCAAAGCCACTTAGGCTCTTGAGAAGGTGAGTGGTATAAGAAACAGGATTTTGGTTTAGACATACCACAGATAGCTTTATCAGGATGAGCTAGAATGGGAACAGAGACACTGAGAGAATGCTATTGGAATAGAGATGCTGAGATCATGAAAACTTGAGAGGATGGCAATAAAATAAAAAGCAAAGGGCACATATGAAAATAACTTTGCTCAGGAGATAGAGCATCGGCCTGCGGACTGAAAGGTCCCGGGTTCGATTCCGGTCAAGGGCATGTACCTTGGTTGCGGGCATATGCCCAGTAGGGGGTGTGCAAAAGGCAGCTGATCGATGTTTCTCTCTCATCTGATGTTTCTAACTCTCTCTGTCCTTTCCTCTCTGTAAAAAATCAATAAAATATATATTTTATTATGTTAAAAAATAAAATATATTTAAAAAAAGAAAAGAACTTTGAAAGAAAAACCTACAGAGTTCCATGATAATCAGTTTTAAAAGTTCAACTGTTTTTTATTTTTTAGTTAACAAAATAATGTCAATAAATTAGCAATATTAAAGAACAGAAATGCTGTTTTTAACTTCTTCATAGATAACTTAGACTCTATTGTTAAGTCTTAGAGGCTAATATTATTTTTCCTATATTTGCCTCAGCAATACCTGCTCAGACCCTTCATTCCACAACAGGCAGAATCAAGTATTTTTCTTCTCTTCCCCACACATACTAACAACAACCCTCTGTCCGGGGCAGTCAATCCTGGCTGTACCTTAACAACCCACACCGTGGCCTCACAGTGGCCTGCTGTATTTCAGGGCTGCCATAATATTAAGTATTATAATAGAATGCATGTAAAGAATGTTTCATACTGCCTGGCACACAGTATATACCTAAATGTTAGTTAGTAATGTTATTAATGGTTGACTCCAATGTCCCTTGAACCCAATTCCCAATCAACAGTTAAACCTTCTCAATTCTATCACCAAAGAAACCTCTCCTATCCTTCCCCTCCTTTTTATTGTCACAGCCCCTAACTGGTGTCTCTGATCCTAGTGTCTCCCTTCCAATTCAATTGACACATTCCTAAAGAATTAAATCCAACTCCCCCTAATTCAGCACTTAAAGCTCTTCATGTTTGAACCCCAACTTACCTTTCCATCCCTATGTTCCACTACTTTCTGAAGTCCATCACTCTAGCCAAATTAAATCACTTTACTTTTCTATATTCAACTCATGCTTTCCCACCACCATCACTTATTCATTTTATTATTCCCTGGAATGCTCTTCCTCTTTACTGTCAAAAGTTCAAATCCTTCCCATCACTTTACCAGACCTCGATCAAATGCCATAATACCTTCCTAGACCATTTCCAACTGAAAAATGATCTCTCTCCCCTGAATACCTACATAATGTTTATACCTCTTCTATAATAGTGATCCTTTTCAACTTTATTTTTCAGTTATGTACTCCATAGAAACCCTTTTGAAAAAATCCATGCCAGTTCCTATAGTATTTAACACATAGCCTGATACTCAAATGTAGAATGATTTCACAGACATTAAAATAAGATTTCGGCCAAGACCGGTTTGGCTCAATGGATAGAGCGTCGGCTTGGGGACTGAAGGGTCCTGGGTTCAATTCCGGTCAAGGGCATGTACCTTGGTTGCGGGCATATCCTCAGTAGGGGGTGTGCAAGAGGCAGCTGATCGATGACTCTCTCTCATCGATGTTTCTAACTCTCTATCTCTCTTCCTTCTTCTCTGTACAAAATCAATAAAATATATTAAAAAAAAAAAAAAAGAAAAAGATTTCGTCCCAACAAAAAACTTTCAACCTTGAACCAGAATTTTCCGATCTAACCTGTATTACAGCTCCCTCACAAAGAGAAATTGCAACACAAAGTACGGTATTTCCTAGCCAGTAGTCATATTAAAAAAATTTTTAATGCCTGGATTAAACAGGCCATTTACTCTTCTTTCCATTTTCAAATCACCCAGTCTCAATCCCTTCCCATCAGAAACTTCCCACTTCTCAAATTGTACACTGTGTATTTACATTTAAAAGCAAAGTGAGAGACTGTTCTTTAACACAGAAAATAATTGTAATTCAGAATCAACTAGTTCTGCCTACTACAGTACAGCCAAGCTCACAAAAACACAGCAAACAAAGATGATCACCATTTTTGCAAGTAAAGTTGCTGCTGCTGACCTCCTGTTTATAAAGCTCTGGGCTGATTTCCAGGCACAAGAAATAGCCAGTATTTGACTCATTCAGATAGTCTCCCTCAGATCCTACTTGTGGGGACTGGCGTTTTAAGACAAACAATGACATTCTGAAATCCACCACTGGCTCTACCGTGCCTTACTTATGTGACTGTGGCCAAGTCCCCGAGCTTCTCGGTGCGTCAGATTTGTAAACAAATGCCTCAGAGGCTTGAAATACAACTATATATGCAAATCTTTTGCTACGAAAGGCAGAATGTCAACTGAAATGTTGTCGGTGAATTCTCCTCGTTAGAACAGAAGTCATCTTACTCCTCAAATACAAGTCACTGTGTCTGATTCCCAAATTCATTAGCGGAAGGACTGTTGTAAGTCACCCAAACGCACGCACTCTCCACTTCCCTCCATTGAAAACTGCTGATTTCCAAGGAACCGGAGCTGAGCAAAATGTAAACCTAAAAGTCCAAATCAGTAAACAACCAGCGATGCAAACTGGTCAAAGAGGAAAAGGAGGTGGGGACCCGTGGGGCGGGGTGGAGGGAAGCGGATGTCAGGAAATACTCGGCTGATCACTGTGCCAACTCAGTCATGGATCTCCAGGTGACACACACACACACACACACACCCTCCCACCCTGGGGCTGTGAGGACTGCTGTTTTGGCCCCAACACGAGGAGGGCATAACTCTTTAAGAGGCTCAGCTTCCTTCCAGCGGGGGCTTGGACCCTTGGGGAGTCCGGGCCTGACAAGACCGGGGAATGACAGCTCGCCATCGCCAGAGTAGCAAGCCCGACATGGTTTCAGGTATGGCCTTGACCGCAGCCCCGGTCCGGCTCCGCGTCCCAGCAGCCTCGCCCAGGCCTGTTCCCGGGGCGGCTCCCCCCCCCCCCCCCCGGCCCGGCCCCCTGCTCACTGGCTTGGCTGATCCGCTGAATATTGCCGCTGCACGTCTGGATGATGCTGCTGAAGTCCCGAAGCGGGGGCCCCGAGGGCCCCGGGTTCCGATACATGTCTAAGGGACCGTAGGACATGGCGAGGCGCAGAGACCGACTCGCCCCGCTCGGCGGTCCCACCGGAAGCAGCCGCAGAACCGGACCGCAGGCTGACTGGGAAACCGGGAAGAGAAAGGGCGGGGAAGGGGCTGAGGCTGCGTGCGCACTTACCCCGCCCACACACAGTGCGCATGCGTCCGCCCCGCCCTGCCCCACAATGCGCATGTGCGGCTGGGACTGAACCCCTGACAGGCCGGAGTCGGGGCCGGATGCGGGGCGGGGCGATGACACATCGCTGGCGCAGGGATTGGAGGAGCTGGGCGTGGCGTTGTTGTTTCTCGGCAGAGCACGGAGCCAGAAGGCAGGAATTTTCGATTAGCATAAAATTGTACCGGATGATCTCAGCTCTAACATCCTTTTCTGTTCTATTCTGAGAACGCAGGCCCAAATATGGGAGCATTAGACAATGTTGAAATTCGGGTCTTTTAACCAAACTCCTGAAATTCCTCCTTCTACTTTCATCCTCTATGGCTTTGTTAGGATTTGGAGCACTTTCATGGTTTAAAAATCACTTTCATTTCTCCTTCCACCTCTCTTCTAATCAAAACTATAAAATAATAAGATTTATCGAGCACAAACTATGCGTGAATCATCACTGCAGTTCAATTGTTCATAAGCTCTTTCACAGCAAGGGACCATGTTCTAACTATATATATATATATATATATATATATATATATATATATATATATATATACACACACACACACACACACACACACATACCCTGTTTCCCCAAAAATAAGACCGTGTCTTATATTAATTTTTTCTCCCAAAGTTGCGCTAGGTCTTATTTTCGGAGGATGTCTTATTTTTGGGGAAACACGGTATATATATATTTTTTTAATTTTTTTTTATAGAGAGGAAGGGAGAGGGATAGAGAGTTAGAAACATTGATGGGAGAGAAACATCGACCAGCTGCCTCCTACACACTCCCCACTGGGGATGTGCCTGCAACCAAGGCACATGCCCTGGATCGGAATGGAACCGGAGACCCTTGAGTCCGCAGGCCGACGCTCTATCCACTGAGCCAAATTGGTTAAGGCTCTAACTATATTTTTACCTTAAGAACAGATAATGTGCAATTCAATTTTTAAATGTTGAAGTAAAGTAACTGAACAAAGTAAGTGTCGTTATTTTCCCTTTTACAATTGAGAAACACCACAGAGGTGAATTTGACTGCAAAACCCAAGCACTAAGCTAAATCCATTGTCATCTCACTACCCTAAAATGCATTCTCAAATTCCCAAATTCATTATTCATCTAAATCTCTTCCAAATAGCTTCTTCATGTGCATCCCAAACCAGGATTTCTTGAAGAAGTAGACCCTCAAAATTTTTAAATAATTTATTTAAGTAATTTGTAGTGCATGACCTCTTCCCATAGTTGGTTTGGCTCAGTGGATGGAGCTTGGGTTCTGGACTGAAAGGTCTAGGTTTGATTCCCTTCAAGGGCTCAGGCCTGGATTGTGGGCTCGATCCCCAGTGCAGGGCATGCAAGAGGCAGCGGATCAATGATTCTCTCTCATCATTGATGTTTCTATCTCTCTCTTCCTCCCTTCTCTGAATTACCACTATACAGGGTGGGGCAAAAGTAGGTTTACAGTTGTTTTTATGGAAAATAATACAATAATTAATAAATAATAAAACTTAAAAAAATAAAATGGCATTTAATAAGCTTCTGGTAAGTGGAAAGACATGGGTAGGATTTTGACTACGTAGCTCCAGATAGGGAGAAGCGAAGGGGAACTGGGTGGAGGGAAACCATGACAAGAATAGTGTTTCCTGTGTTCACCCCACCGCACCCCAGCCTGCTTTGCAATCTCTGGGGAATGGTAAAGAGAGGAAGCTGCTTGCTGGAGGGTACCCCAAATGGGTAAATGCATTCAGCCTTAGAGCTTTTGTGAGCTAGTCTATCTCTATTTTTTTAAAATATATTTTTATTGATTTCAGAGAAGAAGGGAGAGAGTGAGAGAGAAACATCAATGATGAGAATCATTGATTGGCTTCCTCCTGCATGCTCCCTACTGGAGCTTGAGCTCACAACCTGGGCATGTGCCCTTGATCGACTCAAACCCACAACCCTTCCATCCACAGGTCGATAGATACTCTATCCACTAAGCCAAACCAGCTAGGGTTATCTGTATTTTTGTTGGAACATTTATAACAACATTTCTTTCTCTATAGAAAAAGACAAATAACATTTTGGGGCTCTCACTCTGGTTAAAGCCCTTTTCCTAGAATCCATGCTTTTATGTCATCTTATAGTAAATTGTACTTTTTTAAAACTATAAGAATCTTTAGAATGTTTTCATTTACATTTTACTCTGTAAAGTGAAATAATAAAGGTATTTTTCTCTTAGCCATGGAAGCCACTGGTTATTGTTATTGTTTCTCCATCCTAGGGGTGTCGAACTCAATCAGAGAAGGGGCCAAAATCTAAAATCCAGCCTAAATCGCGGGCCGAATGGTTTACTGAACAGTCATAAACTGTCATTGTGATGGAAACGCAGCGGAGTGCAGTGATGACAGCGGGCCACATTGCAAGGCCTGGTGGGACGGATTTGGCCCGCGGGCCTTGTGTTTGACACATGTGAATTCTAAATGTAAAAGTGGGCCCTAGCTGGTTTGGTTGAGTGGATAGAACATCAACTTGCAGGCTGAAGGGTCTTGGGTTCGATTCCAGTCAAGGGCGCATGCCTCAGTAGCAGGCTCAATCCCTGTGCTCGTAGTGCACATGTGTCAAACACAAGGCCCACGGGCCAAATCCATCCCGCCAGGCCTTGCAATGTGGCCCGCACCTCGCTGTCATCACTGCATTCTGCTGCGTTTCCATCACAATGACAGTTTATGACTGTTCAGTAAACCATTCGGCCCGCGATTTAGGCTGGATTTTAGATTTTGGCCCCTTCTCTGATTGAGTTCGACACCCCTATTAGTGCATGTGGAAGGCAATCAGTCATTGTGTCTGTCTCTCTCACAGACACATCAGTGTTTCTCTCGTCTCTCTCCCTCCTTTCCACTCTCTCTCAAATCATTGGAAAAATATCCCCAGGTGAGGATTAACAAAAAATAAAATAAAATATTCACCATGGTCCAGCGTTTGACATACCGCCGGAGGCTGTCCTGCAATACAGCCTCTAACAAAACTAGACTGTCCCGAACCCCTGGTAATAGAATTGTTTACCTTTACACCAAGAAGGTTGGGAAAGCACCCAAATCTGCATGTGGTGTGTGCCCAGGCCGACTTCGAGGAGTTTGTGCTGTGAGGCCTAGGGTTCTAATGAGGTTGTCTAAAACGAAAAAACAGGTCAGCAGGGCCTATGGTGGATCCATGTGTGCTGAATGTGTCCGTGACAGGATCAAGCGTGCTTTCCTTATTGAGGAGCAGAAAATCGTTGTGAAAGTGTTGAAGGCACAAGCACAGAGTCAGAAAGCTAAATAAATTTAAAAATGAAGCTTTTTTGAGTAATAATAATAAAAAAAAAGAAGCAACTAATGGATGCCTAAGTAAGTGGAACAATAGTGTTTCTGTCTCTTCCTCCCTTCCTTTCTTTCTCTTTAAAATCAAGTTTTGAAAAAAGAAAAAGGATAGCACAGGACACAGATGGATAGCCACCGTGTGTGTGTGTGTGTGTGTGTGTGTGTGTGTGTGTGTTTGTGGATAGCCACTTTTTATTTGGTTTGATTTTTAGAATGGAAGAGAAAGTTGCTTCTTGTGTGTGCCCCAACCATCTACAACCTCTTTCCCAGTGTGGTGCTCTAATCAACTGAGCTCCCTGGCCAGAGCCTTGTTTATTCTTTCATAGCAATACATTCTTACCTTGCAAATACTAGATGTCAAATTTATACGTGAATAATAAAAAACAGTCACAGTTTCCTAAATGCTTCCTCAGGCAATGTGAACACATTTTGCAAACATTTATCAGTAATCCCCAAGATAAAGCCCATGAGATAAAGACCTCATGTGGTCTGACAAAGTTAGGTTTATTAACTTAATGCTGTAAGGGAGACTGCGCACAGAGGAATCTTGGAGCATCACCCCAAGCACAGGAAGAGATTCTTATCCAAGGATTTGGGGGAGGGGAATGGAGTGTAGGTAAAATTTAAAAGAATTCTGCCAAAACTGGTTTGCTCAGTGGTTTGGCTCAGTGGTAGAGCGTCGGTCTGCGGACTGAAAGGTCCCAGGTTCAATTCCGGTCAAGGGCATGTATATTGGTTGCGGGCACATCCCCGGTAGGGGGTGTGCAGGAGGCAGCTGGTGTATGTTTCTCTCTCATCGACATTTCTTTCTCTTTTTTTTTTAATATATATTTTTTATTGATTTTTTACAGAGAGCAAGGGAGAGAAATAGAGAGCTAGAAACGTCGATGAGAGAGAAACATCGACCAGCTGCCTCTTGCACACCCCCTACCGGGGATGTGCCCGCAACCAATATACATGCCCTTGACCGGAATTGAACCTGGGACCTTTCAGTCCGCAGACCGACGCTCTACCACTGAGCCAAACCAGTTTCAGCTCCCATCAACATTTCTAACTCTCTATCTCTCTCCCTTCCTCTCTGTAAAAAATCAATAAAATATATATATTTTTAAAAAGAATTCTTTTGATATAGACCCAAAGCACACCAGGCTATTTGTAAAGATATTCTCATCAGGCCTGAGCTGATAAGAGGACTCGAGATCTGTTTCCTTGGAAACTACAAGGTGAAGATAAATGTGGAATGTTGTGCCTGGAAACCCCTTATCTGAAGCTTTGCACCTGGGTTGGAAATTGAGGTTGCTTCTCTGTGTTAAAATAACTCAGACCCTATAGGCAAGAATGTTCCATTCTGCCTGATATTTCAATTTGCAAGTTTTCTTGAACTCTGTGATTGTAAAGAATAAGTAGCATTGTGTCCTTTTGTGAATTGATAAAAAACAGTTTTCATGGTTGGCACCCAGCAAGATGAGATTAGCTCCTTGGTTACAGATAAGGAAACTGATTCTTTATAGAGGTTCTAGGTACTTGTCCAATGTCATATAACTAGTATGTTGTAGAGCTGATCATACATATTCTATGGCTCCACAATTCTACTCCTAACGAT